TCCAGTATAGTTCAGCTGAACCTTCCCTAAACTTTAGAAGTTCAGATGTGAGAAAGTCTCCTGTGAACAAGGGCTTTATTCAGCCTCCAAGTGGGAACAAGGCATGAACAGGAGTCTAGACTTCATAGAACACTGCTTCAGGTCAAAACCTGTTGTAAAAATACTGCATTGTACAACTGAAATAAATGAAAGTACAGCATCTGTAACTCCACAGGCAGACTAGATCTAACCAACCTAATTTTTGTGATTACCTATAACCAATGTGGTCTGGTGCTAAGATCACCTTCACCCGTGGAAGTGCAAAGCTTGTTCTTTGGACCACATCTATTCCTACAGATTTCTTTCTGATTTAACTCTGTATAAAAGCCTCAACCTATATACAGCATGATAGAAGGAAAAAAAAAAAAAAAAAAAAAGCTTTGGAAGTCTATTAATACATTCCCTTTAGCAATCTCTGCATATATTTCACACCTAGATTTGAAGCAGTCTTTTCAGTCTGTGCTAGCACAACAGTCTACCAGAGCCTGGATATGAGCTCTGAAGCTCTCTGAAAGCTTAGAGAGGCCTCATCCCGCAGCCCCACTATCTTACTGATACCACTTCATGTTCTGAACAATTTTTTCCTGATTTCTAGCAAATGTATTTGCAGCTGGATTAGACCTTGCAGTCACTGCCATGGCTAAGTGGATAACTCTCCATTGTGGATTTGGATTTCTGATGGCAGTTGCTTTCTTTCAGTTCACACATCATCAGCTGTGTGGTTTGCACGGAGCCCCACTAGAGCGCATTTCCACGTATGCTGGCTGAACACCCCTGGTCAGGCCTTCGCTGCTGACACACCGCGCTCCCTCTTATGCTGGTACAGGAGTGTGAGGGTTATCTGAAAAAAGGGCTAAAGATGGAGCTGAAAATGCTTACCATACTTTGATGAAAAATGGCATGTATTCCGAAAGTACGCAGAAACAGCACCTCCTGAGACAGCTGTGTTTGCACAACTGAGAGAGTGGTGTGGAAGTTTTATCTGCTGCACATAGACATGAGTTTCAGATGGTGAGCATTTCATACAATGAGCATTGCTGAGACTGTGCGTGCTGGCTCCTCGGGAGGGATTATGCCCTTGTTCTCAGCCTGCTTGCCAACTGGCTGCTCCCCCTGTCTGGGCTTCTGATGGCCACGTAAAGAGTGCTACGGAACGTTGGCTTGTTTCATGCAGTGCACAGTCTCTGTTTTCTGCAGATAAATCCGACATGATGTAGCAATAACAAGACACTTGTTCATCCAGCTTCTATGATGAGTTTCAGCAGCCTCGTTGCAAATAACTTCTGACAAATCCACAAGAATGCCAAGTGAGCAGAAAATAAATGAAGGTTCCAGTACCGTCCCCACCAAAAAAAGTAACAAGCAGTAAGGAAACGTTCCTTAGCTCCTTGCTCAACAAGCAAGCTATGTTTCCTCAACCATTGTGCAATGAGTATATCCCACAACCATCATAAGATCAGCTCACTCACATTACTCTGAGGTTCTCCCCCCACATTCACTACAAAACTGTTAGCTAACCAAGCCTCCTAAATTATATCACAGAAACATTTTTGCTCTGCTTGGCATCTCTTAGAACAACCTCCAGGATGACTGGATCCTACTTTCACAGAACTGAAACTGCTCTTTTCTGAGAGGAGTCAAGTACCAACTTCTTCCTCCTGACTGCTTCCCTCTTCAGCTGCTGACTGTGAAATTCTCCTTATTTACCTGGCACTTTCACACAGATTGGTAACACACTGCTATGTCTACTTGCTTCTAACATCTTTTTTTCCCCTATAATTGACAGCACGTGTCTTCCCACTGAAAAATACGCTCAGTAACGTTATGTCTGGTATCCAAAACCCCTTACTCTCTACTTTCCCATCTTCTCTCCCCTTTCAGAAATGACAGCCTCAAAAGAGCACCCTTTGTCAATAAGAGTTCCAGTTCTTCCCTTTCCTCAGTTCAGATCAGGGTATATCAGGTATATCAGGAAATATATGCAGATCAGGGTAAGTGTGTCCAATTGAGGAAGAACGCCTGCGATCGCAAACTTTTCACTTCAGTGCAATTAGGGATTTGCCACTGGAATCTGTGCCTTCTTGGGGTCAGCTTCTACTAGCTGCAATGAGATCCTCATGAGATGCAGTTTTAACACCACTTGGGCAGAAGTAGTCCTGCTATCATTTCACAAGCATTGCTTTAATAAAAGTCCTTTGCAAAATCGTTATTAAAATGACTCTCAAAGATTCTGGCTGTCCTTTGCTATTAGCCTTCATCCTCCCAACAGCTCTGTGCTCTGTCTCATGACACTCCTACTCCCTTATTACTCTACTATTCCCTTCTAAGATTTCACGGTTATAGGCCATTCCACACCCTCTCTACCACACTGACAAATGCTGCGGTGACCTCTGGCACGTATCGCCATCATAGTTACATCCACAGCATCAAACCTGCAAGATCTCCATGGTCCGTCTCTGACTTGTGGGTCACCTTTGGCCACCCAATTTCTTTATGCTTCTGCCTTCCCAGCCATAAAACAACCGTGTTCTTTGATATTTATGGATGAAAACCATAGAACAGAGTGTACTACTTAGAAGAAGTTTTCAAGAGTGCTGCAACCTCACTGAATGACTGAATCCATGCCAAGATTAATTATATCTGATAGACCTATCAATTAAATATTTGCAAAGGGTCCTGCTGGATGATGGCTATCAGCTACTGATCTAACACATTTTATTCTTGTACCTGCTTGCTCAATTATTCCTTGATGAAGAGGAATAGATCTGAAGCACCCATGCATCTCCAACCTCAGATAAACGGTCTTGTTTTAATTCTTCGCCATTGTAGTCCAAGTGATGCTAAATGGATCTAACATTCCTGGGGCAAGTTATCTTTCTTTTCATGAAAAGAAATATAGCTCAACTCTTCCTTCCCAAGCATCCTCTCAAATACCCCTGGCAGCATTCAGCTGGGTGCTGGGAGTTCTGACCAAAAGAGCTGAAGCTCTGCCTGAGAATGTTTCCCACCCACACACTGCAAGTGTTCAGGAGCCAATCTTATTTATGAAGTTTAGTTTGATTTCCAGTCCCTTGTGCCAAAATCCCAATGAGATGTGATTTATACACAGGAGTGGTTGCAGAATTTTGGTATTATTTGCTACAGACCAGTACACTTGTTTCAACTGTTTTGGGGTCCATAGACAAGCTACGACATAAAAACTGGTAGCACAGAACTTTGGATATGACAGAGGGCATCAAGAGATGCAGATACACATTCAAATGACAACAAAAAGTATCAGAGATCTCTTGAATAAAAGACACTGAAACAGAACTGAAAATTGCATTAACTGTATTGTCACAACAGAACAAGAACCCTCTGGAATCAGACAGCTTCCTTTGGACGCTTCATCAGGCACACTGCTCTGCAATAAGCCAAACTAAGAACCCAGACAAACAATAAACATCTCGTAGACAACACCCTTTGGACTGATCTGGAATCAAATATGAATCAATTCTGGTGCCTGGGTCTCTTTTGCATAGAAAGCAAGCAATTCCATGTTTTCTCATGATATATCAGGAATGACTTTGGAGACAGAACTGATTCACTGCATTCATTCATATTGAACTGCAGCAAATGTAAAATTTACTTGCCAGTCTCATTCACTACCCTTGCTCAGTTGAAATAGTTGGGGCTAATATTGCATTAACTCTTCCTCCACGTAAGAAGGTGCCCGCGTGCCCCCTCACCGTGACTCTGACAGGGGACCAATGCCAGCCTGGAAGGAGTGAGTGCCCTATGGAGTTCAGTTCTGTTGTTTACATCAGTTGTCCCATACATACTCGGAACCTATTTTCTGTACTGATTCCTCCGCTCAGTTTCCGTTTCTGTCTAAAAAAAAGGGTCTACAAAGGCAAAGAAAAGAATTGTAGTCCTGAACATTTGCCAGGAAAACATAACTATCCCCACCTCATAGCCTGAGGTAAAGGCTATGAGCGTTCATCGTTTGTGACAGACCCGTTGTGCCCCTTCCCAAGGCTCTGTGTCAAGAGTAACGCTACAGCAGCACGGAGTGACAAAACAAGCCGGGGTACCGAGACTGACTGCAACCTCCCGATTACAAAGCAGCCTTCCGAACAATGCACACAAGTCCCACAGCTAGCTTAGCTACTCGCTGCCTCTGTGCTCCTCGGGACGCTCCTACACGCTTCAATCAGTGCGGCGGGGCCCGGCAGGGCAACACGCGGTGATGGGAGTGCCACGGCCGCCGGCTGCGGAGCGGCTCCCGGTTCCGAACCCGGATCGCCACAGCAACGCGGCAGGTTCCCGAACACCGCACCGTATCCCACGGGTGAACACCGCGTTTCCTCTGAAGCGAAAAAGAAAGCGTGTAAATTCGATTCCTAGATGCGATTCCTTCCCACCTGCTGCTCCCACCCCATCGTTCGCGCAGCAGCCTCTTTCCCCCTCCCCTGGCTCCAGAGCAGGGAAGAAGACGCCAGGCAGGGCAGCTCCCGCGAAGCTGCCCTCGGTGCCGGCAGAGGAGGAACGAAGGGGCCCGCGGGCTCGAGCACGGCGGGCCGCTCGCCCACTCGCCGCGGCCCCGCTCCGTGCCCCGGGCCGGCGGGACACCGGGAGCCTCGGCCACCCGCAGCGGACGAGGAGGGCCGAGAGCCGCCCCGGTCCGCGGGCGCCGCCCGCGAGGCTCCTCCCGCCCGCCGGGAGCCGCCGGGCCGGGCCGGGGGCGGAGGAGGCGGGGAGGGGGAGCCGCTGCCGTCACCGAGGCTCCCGGCTCGCTCGGCTCGCCGCCGCGGCAGCCCCAGCCCCGCTCCCACCCCCTCGCCTGCCCCCACCCTCCTTCCCTTTCTCTCGCTCTCTCGGCGAGATCGGCGTGCTTCTTCTCGCAGGTGGCGGCCGGCAGCGCCATGCGACCTCCTGTTCCTCCTGCTCCTCGCCTTCCTCTCCGGCGCTAAGTCAATGCCATGCTGCCGCTGCTCCTGCCGGCGCTGCTGGCCGCCTGCCTGCCGCCCTGCCAGGGCTGGAGCCCCTCGGCGGCCGCCGGCGGGCAGGAGGAGCAGGAGCTCTTCTCGCCGCCTGCCAACTCCTCCTCCCGCTCCCCGGCCGGCCTCGAGATGGACCTCGATGGGGCAGCGAGCAAGGAGGACGGCGGCACCGCCAGCCCGGGCACGCCGGCGACCCCCAGCCGAGAGCCGTCCCCTTCTGCCCCCACCTCGGGGCAGCAGCAACAGCAGCAGCCGCGGCTCCAGCAGCCTCAGCTCGCCGAGGACCCGCACTGCAATATCAGCGTGCAGCGGCAGATGCTGAGCTCGCTGCTGGTGCGCTGGAGCCGCCCGCTGGGCATCCAGTGCGACCTGCTGCTCTTCTCCACCAACAGCCACGGGCGGGCCTTCTTCTCCGCCGCCTTTCACCGCGTGGGGCCGCCGCTGGTCATCGACCACCTGGGGCTGGCGGCCGGCGGCGCCCAGCAGGACTTGCGGCTGTGCGTGGGCTGCAGCTGGGTGCGGGGCCGCCGCGTCGGGCGGCTGCGGGGCTCAGCGCCCCAAGCGCAGCCTCAGCCCCAGCCCGCCGCCTCCTCGCTGTCCTACCCGCCGGCGGCCGAGCCCGGCCAGTACTGGCTGCAGGGGGAGCCGCTCAATTTCTGTTGCTTGGATTTCAGCCTGGAGGAGCTGAAGGGCGAGCCGGGCTGGCGGATGAACCGTAAGCCCATCGAGTCCACGCTGGTGGCGTGTTTCATGACTCTGGTCATCATCGTGTGGAGCGTGGCCGCCCTCATCTGGCCGGTGCCCATCATCGCCGGCTTCCTGCCCAACGGCATGGAGCAGCGCCGCAGCGCCGGCACGGCCGCGGCCGCCAGCAAGTAGCCATCCCGGGACCCCCATCGTTCGTCGTGTGCTGTGAGGGACGCGGGCGGGCCGGGCTGTGCGCGCTGCCCCTCCTGCCGCGTTTGTTCTCGTGTGTGAAGCGTGTGAAGGTGCGCTGCGCGAGCGGCCGCCGCAGGGGATCCGCTGCCCCGCGCCCCTCGGCCCCGCCGCCGCCACGACCGCATCCTGTGTGCTCGTTTTGTACCTTTAATAACCGTTTTAAATCAACTTTTTAGAAAAAAGAAAAAAAAAAAAAAAAAAAAAAAAGCGTTCCCCTCCAAAATCTACGCAGAAAATAAAAGACCCTCCCGTTCAACCGCATTTTCTGTAGTCGGCGGTTTTTCTTTGTGTGTATGAGCGCAGTCTGAGCGGGTCTTCTCGTTACTTACAGCAAGGGACGTCTCCTGTTGGCGGGTCTAGAACTGAAGCAGTGTGTCTGTTGTTATTGCTGAAGTTGAACGAACCTTTTCCACTGTATTTCCCTGCTGAAGTAGTGTGTGTTTATTACCGTTATCTCCACGTTATTTGGCTTTTAATACAGAGGTTTCTTTCAAGAACCTCCTAAGACTTTTGTGAGTCTGTTTCCACCAGGATGGATGTGAGAGTTAAGCCAACCTGTCTCCAACCTGTCCTCAAAGCTCATCTTTCCCTGTGAGAGCCTGTTAATGGGGTTGGTGGTGAAAAGGGGAGCTGTAAGCCCTTTCTGAATGGTGTTTGTCGTATGTTTGCAGTATGTTAAGGTCGTATAGCTACATCAGGGTGAGGTGGGATGGAGAACATGTCTGTTCTGGAGGTCCTCCAAGGGTATTTGCTTGGCTCGGCTCAAGCACTATGGCTTTCTCACCAGTTAGAGGTTGGGTGGTTTTGGTCCTGCGAAGATCATTGTAAGGTCTTTGAGACATTCTACAAGCAGCACAGTGGTGAATCTCATTACCTCCACCAAGTGCATTCCACAACAGCAGCTCAGACCCAGCGCATGTGCTGAAGGGATTGTGATGTGGTGCTTCTTTCTCAGCTCCAATTCTATAAGGTTGCTCACGGAAAGTCTGTGGGGTGGAGAGTGAAGAGAAACCGCGGGTTCGCAGCTAGATTGTGCAAGCGTGTAAGAAAGAAAGGTTTGCAAGATTTCTTCTTCCCTATCCAAGCAGGCAGTTGCATGGTGTGAAGTGTCGCTTGGTGCATGCTTGGAATTCTTCAGCCTTACCAGAAGTTGTTTCACTTGCCTTAGACACAATTAGTCCAGCTGAAGTTTCTGCAATCAATATATAAGCTAAATGAGAAAGACTTGCGATAGGAATTCTCTTTCCTTTGTCAACATCAGCGTCTTTAATTTGTTGGAAACATACAAACTCACTCGGAGGCTAATCTGGTATATTTGTAATGCTTCCTTCCCCACGGTCTGGTGGAAATGACTGGATTAAAAACCTGGAAGGATTGAATTTTTAGGATTCTCTTGATCAAGGACGTTTTTTTTCCTATATTTTTTAATTGAGAACAAAATAACAAAAATGCATGCTCCGTGTTTGCAATATCTGGAAGAAAATGCAGATAAAAAACAGATTGATAAACTGCCTAAATAAATGAAATCAAGATTTTAAAATCTTCCATGTCACTGTGCTACCTCAACACCCACCGTTTCTCCTGTTGATTGCATGTCCCTGGAGTAAATGTAGCCACGGGGCTGTTTGGGAAGCAGAGGGTCTGCTTGCCACGAGAAGTTTGCTTTTGGCCTGTTGAAGCGAAGGGCACATTGCACTGTGTGTTCTGACTGCATCTGAGATGAGATGCACAGAAATGCATCTTGCTGGAGTGCGATTATTTGCCTGCAATGACCTGTGTGAGATACAAGCCTTTTCATAACGAAAGGCAAGGCTACCGAGAGAATCAGGTCATGTTAAACACCTTCCCAAAAGATAAACGCTCTGCATACTCAATAACTATTGGAAACGTGGCCGTGACAGGAAAGCATTTTGTGTTAATGAGGTGCATTTAGTCGGAGTTAACAACTCCTGCTGAAGTTGTGCTGTGGTGCATAGTACTCAAGGTTATAATCTCTTCCTGCTTATCCTGGTTTCACCGGTGATGTGCCGATGTTTTCTTTCTGAATTACATCAGCATAAGCAAGGGAGTGATGCTGCTGTCAGGAGCAGGCAGCTTCAGTTATTAAAGGCTTTTTATTTGCTGTTCTTATACACCTACTAAGAACTCTAAAATTGGTACTGTGTCTTTGAACATCTGCCAACATCAGCTTGAATACAAACCGCATAAATAGGCACTGCCATTGTGGGAGGCATTCAGGGACTACTGATCTTGGATACAAAGTGTAAAGAGCACTTCTCAGTTAAAGAAAGCATTTTTCTTAGACTGCAGAAGGGTTTTGCACATCCCCTTCACAGAGGACAGGTGTTTCTGTCCCTTGTAAGCAAGGACTGCCTGGCACAACAGAGGGCATAGAGTACTGCCTGCACCAGGCATAGGCTGACATCTCCCAGCCTCAGCTGGCAGTGAGGTGGCAGCAGTTTCTCCTGAGGACAGTTGCAGTTTGGCACCTGCAGCCATTCTGGAATCCTGGTGATCGCTGATGGGCCAGAGTTGACCTGGCAGTGAGTATCAGCAGCCATGGGCTGGAGTGGTCGTTGTGGAAATGCATTACACAGATAGTCGTTTTTTTCTGGGCACTGCTGTGGTGCTCCAGCATCAATCAGCAACCCTGCTTCCCAAGCTGTGGCTGCTGCTGTGCCCCTTGGTAACCACTGCTTTGGGGTAACAACAGATGGTGTCCTTTCTATCACCGCTTTCTTCTGCATCCATGGGAGTTTGGTCTGAATTAAACCTGGAAGATTCAAGCCCAAAGTGATGTAAAATGATACAACGCCATGCCAGCTAGTTGCAGCTTCCAACTCCAGACACTGAAATGTCTATCTATTTTCTCTTTCAGTGGCAGTGGAGTTTTATTGTTGCTTTACTGAGGATGATTCTAAGCCCTTTTTATTCATTTGGATTTATTTTTGAAGCCTGTTGTCAGCATGGCCAGCATCAGAGCAGAGCCATCCACATATACCCCTTCATATATTCAGGGTGGACGTATGTGTACATATGTATTCATATGTATAGATCTGAGAATTTATTCAGGTCAGAAAAAGGGTGGTGAGAAACAAATAATACTGAACAAGTTGTACTGGTTTTCCTTTACTATTTGTCTGATTGCGTTCCCTGGTACGTGAGCCTGACTTTATTTATGTATGTGCTTACTGGAAGGTAAGGGATACCTAGAAACAGGGGCAATTTGTCAATTTCCTTTTCATGTAATTCAACTAAATTGGATTATTATGTTTTCATTCCAAGAACCAGGAACTCCCTCTAGAGAGATCTTCGGCACTTGGAGGTACTCAATGGCTCAAATGCTGCTGTTAAGACTGCCATACTTTTATTTCCTCTGTATTCTGACACCAGAAATATGTTTCTCTTTCTCACATATTTGCTTAGTTCTGTTTTATAGGTATATTAGAAGCATAGAGATGAATATTAGTTTTAACATGGATACAGTTTTGGTGTTACTCGGTTTCACACGCATTCCCATGATAAAAAGATGAAGATGTCATGCAGTGCAATTGCAGTTGTATAATATGTAAGTATATTGCAGTTCAATAGGTATTTACTAATCAAGAGCAGTTTCTATATGTCTGGATATATGTGAATATTTGGGGCACTGATATCCATATTTGGGTAAAGATGAGAACTGTCGTTTCTTCAGGGCTCAGTTCATTAGTGCTTTCAGTGATTAACATGCGCTGCAACACTACCATTGTGCAGTAAATATTACTCAGTGTGAGTAAGGGCTACTGAACCAGGCCCTAAAAATTTTAATTAAATGCCTTGCTTGTCTGAGTAAGTATTATTCATCATGACCTCAGCTTGCTGAATAGAAGTGTCCTCAGGGCCTCCATTACACGATCCCAGGGGCTGAACAAAAGCCCAGTGAAATCAAATGATGAAGTTAATTGAAATTTGCTATGACTAAAGATCAGAGAGTCTATTTTAAAGATGTGTATCTAGATGCAAAAGTAGGTAGTGCCTTGTTGTTCCTCCCTGTTTCTTACACACATTGTTTCTAAGTAAGTCTAAAGCTGGGATTTCTTGGTACAGTGTAAAGCTTTGCTGGTTTGAAAATCAGCTTCTTTCTGAAGCTGGTTTGAAAATGCCAATGGTTTTTCAATGCATTTCATTGAGTAAATGTCACTTTCTTTCACAGCGTATTTCAGGGAAAGGCCTTGATTTTTCAAAGAATTGCTCCACGATTATGGGGAGATATGGAAACATCCATCACAAACAATCAGATTTAAAAGCATAAATAATCTTTTAAAGCGGTAACTCACATTTAAAAGCATGTTTTAAGACAAAAACATTGTTTTCCATTTTTCCTTCGAAACTGGAGTATCTCTAGGAAGATCAGAAGTGCATATGAGTCTTTTGCAAAAGTGATTTTGTGAGAAGAAAGACACTTTTGTAATCCTCAATTTGTAAGCTGTTCTAATTACAGCATTCTCTCCAGTGATCAATGACAGATGAAGAACTGCATTTCTTGATGCTCCTTTGTAATAATTCAGGCTTAATAAGTGTTCCAAACTTTTGCAAATTAAAAAATAATCATAATCTAGCTTAGCCTGTTTGTTTGGTTCTCTTCTATATGCCAAGGGAGGGAGCAGACTGCAGTAACATTTGGGATTTACTAGAGATGTCTGCATCGTGTTTAATTAGATTTGTAGCCAAATTAGATCTCACAAACCAAACATGTTCCAATATTCATCAGTATAACAACCAGAGGGGTCTGTTGATGTGCTCGTTGGCGAAGCCAGTCACCAAAACCTTACTTCTGATTTTGGCTTTCTTGTTGTGTCAACAAGCTACTGGTGTCAAAATAAAACTGTGAGATTCAAATATCCTGTGAAACTCCCTGTGTTTGACTTGTTCTTAACTTTCATGGAAAAACACCTGATTAA